GGTCACTTAGCTGACCAGGGAAATCCGCAAATTTACCATGGAAGTTTGAATGGAGGCCTGGATAGATCGATAGAGTCTATAAGGTTATCTACAAATATAGATATCAAAACTGCAACCTGCATTTCACAAGCAATTTATGAGCAGGTAAATTTCGTAATGGTGCAGTAGGATGAAGCCTTGGTGGTGAGCTAAGCATAAGCGAGGAATCGCATACAGTGCAGTTCTCTGCGGACGGTGGGGCGGTCCTAAGGCCACGCTGGCTGGCGGCCCGATATGTGCCTGTTGGTCGAAAGCGGCAATAGCCTTGCCTGCGTGCCTCTGACCTGACTCTGCGCTTCTAAACACACCAACCGCGCCCTCTACTCACTCTTCCGTCGTGCACTCTCGCCGATCGATAATGGCTGACGCTGTCCATCAGCTGATCCCCGACGCATTTTCTCCGAATTCCTGCCATATTCTGTTGAAAAAAGCGCGAATTTCCGACTTTCGGCTTTAACCGTCAAAGGTGAGTATTTTTACTAAAATTGTATCACAATTTGCACGAATTTAGCTTGAAATTCCCTTAGAAAACATTTTGATTTTTGCAATTCGTCCAAAGTTTTCCTTATCGTCCCCAGTTCTTTTTATGTTATTGACCGGCTTTTCAAAGTAGAGTCTCAGATGTGATCTCGTTATTATCGAGAACCATCTTTGACTCTGTTTTGAAGCTCGGAGAGCGCACACTTGCTACATAATTCACTCCAACATTACCAAAAGCGGCTCACTATTAGACAATGAGAACAAGACGCAGATTCGAGGACAGAATCCAAAAGGAAGAGAAATAAAAAAATAGTCAGCAGAGACTCAAAATTGAGATTGGAAGAAGGGACCATTAAAGTGCGACTCCGAGCTTCAAAACAGAGTCAAAGATGGTTCTCGATAATAACGAGATCACATCTGAGACTCTACTTTGAAAAGCCGGTCAATAACATAAAAAGAACTGGGGACGATAAGGAAAACTTTGGACGAATTGCAAAAATCAGAAGAAAAAAAATGTTCTAAGGGATTTTCAAGCTAAAATTCGTGCAAATTGTGATACAATTTTAGTAAAAATACTCACCTTTGACGGTTGAAGCCGAAAGTCGGAAATTCGCAGCTTTTTTAGCAGAATATGGCAGGAATTCGGAGAAAATGCGTCGGGGATCAGCTGATGGACAGCGTCAGCCATTATCGATCGGCGAGAGTGCAGGACGGAAGAGTGAGTAGAGGGCGCGGTTGGGTGTGTTAGAGCGCAGAGTCAGTGTCAGAGACGGAGGGGCAATGGTGATAATTTCCTGGAATTTCGCGGCTTTCCATCGCCACGCCATCAGCGGAGCGCTCTCTGCCGGGTGGTCGTAGGAACCGCCCACGTCCGGTGGAGCACTCCACACTGTACGTCGAATTGAGTCGTGGTGGTGCAGTGGTAAGGTTCGTGGTTTGACGACTTGATTAGACGTATGCGATTCCTCGCTTATGCTTCACAGCTCACCACCAAGCCTCCACCCTACTGCACCATTACAAACTTTACCTGCTCATAAGTTGCTTGTGAAATGCAGGTTGCAGTTTTGCTATCTATATTTGTAAATAACCTTATAGACTCTATCGATCTACCCAGGTCTCCGTTCAAAGTTCATGGTAAGTTGGCGGACATCCCTGGTGAGGATTTCATTGCAGGCGATTCTTTCTTCGGCATCCACATGCTCATTTGTGGATAGTGTTAGGCCTCCTGATATCGTCAATGGTTGGGCCATCATTGATTCCAGTGAGTGAGCATGTTTCCCGGGAACAGTCGCCACTTTAGTTGACGCGGCCACGCCTATCACATCACAGGGATTTCGAGTGCATGTGCTAGTTTTGGGCCTTATCCTAGGGCGTGGGCGTCACGTGGCCCATATATCGGTGTTGAGTGGATCAAATCACCACGGGGACGCAATTCTGGTCATGTGAACCCTCGGGATGAGGTTCCATTCGACCCCAATCCAATTTTGAAAACTGTGATAGCAAAAGGTGAACTCTGCAAATGATGGGTTTCATTCCACTCGCTTTATCAAAAAGAAGCCTACTAGTTCGTGGTTTCTGTATCCCAGGTGCTAGGGAATGGGTTTCCTTTTGCAACTCCAGAACAAGCAGAACCGGTGTGCCACTCACAATAGTTTCCTCGATATGGTACTTCTCGTTGTTGCATATTCAGTCAACATTTCTGGCCTTCTCGGCTCGAGGTTCTGCTTGATCATCTGTCCCTTGTTAGCTGCCATCATACACTTCTCGTAAATTAGCTTCGTAAGAACCTGCTTGCTCAGTTATCCCTATCCACAACGCAGAACATTCCACAAATTGATCCGCGCTGTTCCAGGGATTTTCACGCTGCAACTCTTACTACTAGTGACTTCCAGCTTTTCTTTGAGTAATGTCTTATCACTAGTGATTACCTAATATTTCAGGGAAAAGTTTATGGATACCGTTCTTTTCGACAGGAGAGTCCGTTAAAGAAGAACCTCAGTAGGCTGATTATGATTGTTTTCATTAATTGTTAGTACGGTAGTCGTGAGTTATAATGTCTATTAGAATAAATTGTACATTCATGGGTACATCGTTTGCTGGCCATTATAATGAGGATTTCAAGGACGCTAACTGGTTGCCTTGTTTTCAGAACAAGTTGTTCTCTCACCTCCATAGATCCTGATCTTTGCCACATGTGAAGTGAATGGTCCGCAGCTGCAGTAGGATGCCACTTTATCCACACGCTAGACTGCAAGGGAACGGGCTTAAGGGTAGCGATACCCGGTGCCCAATCCATTTCCCCTCGCGCTGCTGTGCGGCCAGCCACACGCCTAATCGTAGCCAACTCTGCGCCTTCTCATTTCTAATTGTTCTCTGCGGCTGAGTACGTGTTTCGCTCCGGGACCTTGGCATTGACAGAATTTGCACCTTAAAGACACATGGTACGATCACACATAGTTTGGTGTGCGTGACTATCAGCCCCCAGCTGTCGAAGCGTAGTTTTTCCCCGTCCTAACATGCGCAGGAATGGAGATACAGGACCGTGAAACACGCTAATTCCTCCATGCTCCGCCCAATACCTTTTGCGGCGCAGACTCCCGTTCATGCTAACAGCCGTCGTGCGCGCGTGTCGCGTGCAGCTCTCTTGGCACTTTGCCAAGTCCTGTAATTGCGCTTTGGAATACAAGTAAAACGCAATTTCCTGATGCGGATAACATTTGAGGTGTTGCTCATGCTTCAAAGTCCGAATAGAAGGTGATGAAGATGACAAAGGCTAGAAATGAAGAACAACGAATGTAGATGTAAATAAAACAAAATTGAAAAAACTAAGGAAACGCAATAAATTAAAATCGCGTGTGAATTTCTGCGATCCGGCGCGAATCTGGCTCCAAAGCCATAGAAATACTTCAAACTAACGAGTGGGACGCTTAGGCCGTTTTTATTTTCATGTTTCGTGGAAATGCGCGGCCTCCGAGGGATATTGCAGAAGCAGCACAGTTGCTCTTGAGTTCTGGCCCTCGTCATCATCTTCGGTTCTTATTTTGCAGCACCTAAAATGTTATCCGCATAAAGAAATTGCGTTTTACTTGTATTCCAAAGCGCAATTACAGGACTTGGCAAAAAGCCAAGAGAGCTGCGCGCGACACGCGCCGCGCGGACGGCTGTTAGCATAAACGGGAGTCTGCGCCGCAAAAGGCATTGGGCGGAGCATGGAGGAATAGCGTGTTTCACGGTCCTGTATCTCCATTCCTGCGCATGTTAGGACGGGGAAACCGCTACGCTTCGACAGCTGGGGGCTGATAGTCAACACACCCAAACTATGTGTGATCGTGTCCATGTGTCTTTAAGGATAACGCTGGCGGAGTATGGAGCTGGTATCACTACTTTCCAGTACGAAAAAAGTACGCCTTTGAGGAAAGTGGCACTCTATGCTGCTGTCGCGAGGCAGTCGCCCTTCCGACCCCTCAAACACGACGCATCGAGGTGGTTCAGAGCCCCGTGAGTCCCGAATCCAGGAACTCACGTCATCCTAAGGGTCCTCCTCGGGGACCGCACTGGTCTCTCCCCAGCGCAGCCTCCGTTCCCCTCTACAGGGCCGGGAGGTTGTGGGGGGTTGCGGTAGCACTGTCCCCACGACTGGCCTATCCCCTGGTCCGGCCACAAGGACCAGACCAAGGGGTTCCCTGGTCGCTGGACGCACAACCGATACAATACAATGATACAATACAACATGACATAGCAACCTACAGCGCCTTAGTCAGGCCCTGCCCTGGCGCTTCCCCCTGTCTGCCTCAACACAAAAACACAACATAAAAAATACTCACATTTATTACTGCGGAAAGTAACGATACCAATCTTCCTTTTCCTATACTCATCCCTGCCGTTCTGGACGACCAATCCATCGATCCATGATTGATACCATTAGCGATAATAGCGGTAAGGCGGCACTCTGCCGGCTTGCGCGAGTGTCAGCCCGTCTGGTGCCACTCGGGCTTCCACTCCAGCCAGGTATCGACCTTCTCAACTGGTAGGAGAGGGGTACTCTCCTCCCAGCAGGGAAGGGACGCCAAGAGAGCTCCGCGCGGGAGCCTCTCCGCCGGCCGCTTTTATAGTAGCAGCACGCGGCGTGGCGTCACGTGGCACACGCCTATTGGTTGACGGTGCAGCGCGGTTTGGCCGTAGAGCGCGGCAGAGCCCAGGCGCAGGGTGCGCCCGAGGCCACAGTCGCGTACCGCGACAGCTGCTGCTCTAAACCCATTCACCACACACAAGGGACCATTCTTTGATTGGACTGTATATTTTCTCTACTGTAAGTAGTGAAATCAAGTCAAAGACACAGCTAGACAATGTCCGTAGAGGTTGTTGCTGTTAAGGGAAAA